ATCAATAAGCCCAGCGTGACTCAGTGGTTGAGCATCAACCTGTGAATCAGGAGATCATGGTTCAATTCCCGGTCAGGGCACATGCAGGTCCCTGGGATTGCAGGTCCATCCCAGGTTGTGTGCTCAATCTCCAGTGTGGGTTGTGCAGGAGGCAGCCAAATCAATGATTCTCTCTCATCATTGATGTTTCTATCTCTCTCTCCCTCTCCTTTTCTCTCTGAAATCAATAAAAAAATATATTTTAAAAATAATAATAAAATAAAAATTAATAAAAACATGTTTTCTTTAAAAAAAAGATTGTGACAGGGTACATGTGCAAAGTGGATACATGTGAGACCTATGAGGTAGGTGTCAAACTCAAACAATCAAATGAGAAACATTAAGGCAGTTAGGTTAATTAGTATATTTGTTTATGATGTGTACAGTGTATAATTGTCAGATTTTAATCTCCAAAATTTTCTTTAACTTCTAGGCTTTTGCAGATATGCTGAAAGTGAACAAAAATTTGAAGAGCTTAAATATGGAGTCCAACTTTATCACAGGAGCTGGGGTTCTAGCACTGATTGATGCTTTAAAAGATAATGAGACCCTCACTGAGCTCAAGATTGACAATCAGGTCAGTGCTCTGCAGCAGTAGCTTTGAGGAAGCTACAGCCCACACTGCTGTGCAGGGCTTGGGGACTCAGGAGGCGTGTGGGAGGAGGGCTTTCAGAAAGCTATTTGGGAAGGTGGCATAAAAGAGGATGAGAGAACATTGGAGGCATCTGGAATATTAATTTGATATTTTTAGTATGGGTCTTTAGTATATTCATAGAGTTATGCAACCATCACCACTGTCTAATTCCAGAACATTTTTATCATCGCAAAAAGAAATTTGCCCTGGCCTGTGTGGCTCAGTGGTAGAGCATCGGCCTGAGCACTGCTCAAGGGCAGGTACCTGGGTTGCAGGTCCATCCCAGACCCCAGGCCCTGGTTGAAGCTCCTGAGGGAGGCAACCAATCCGTGTGTGTCTTTCTGTCTCTCTACATCTCCCTCTCCCTCTCCCTCCTTCCTTCTCTCACTCTCTGCCCCCTTCCCTGCCCCTTCCCTCCCACTCTCTCTAAAAATCAATGGGAAAAAATCCTTGGGCAAAGATTAACAACAACAAAAAAAGAAACTCCATACCCACCAGCGGTCACTCCCTGTTCACCCCTCCCACCTCTATTTTCTGTCTCTGCATTTGCCTATCTTAGACCGTTCATATTAATGGAATTGTATACCATGTGGTCTTTTGTGTCTGCCGCCTTTCACTGAGCAAAATGTTCTGGAGGTTCATCCATGTTGTAGCACATATGAGTACTTACTCTTTTTTTAGCTGAATAATATTGTTACATTTGGGTTGTTTCTACTTATTGACTATTAGGAATAAAGCTGCTGTGAACATTTATATATACAGGTTCTTGTATGAACGTGTGTTTGTTTTTTGTGGGTCTGTACCTAGAAGTGGCTTTGCTAGGTCATACGGGCATGTCAGATTGTTTTCTGCAGCAACTACATCATTTTACATTCTGACCAGCATGTCTGAGGGTCCCATTTTCTTCTACAATCTTGCCAACCCTTATTATTTTCTGTCTCTTTTATTATAGTCATCCTGTGGGTATGAAGGGTATCTCATTATGGAAATCCACAATTTTTTGATGTCTATATGATCAATACTGAACTTTAAACTTTTGTTTCCCTTGTACACTATAAGAATCGGGAAAATTTTAAAATACCAACAGAATCAGCATACCTCAGTGTCTTAGTCTTGACTTTCCTAGAAAAGTATTTTGATCTAGTTTATTAACACTATTCTTTATTTCTGATTATTCCAGAGGCAGCAGTTGGGGACAGCTGTAGAATTGGAAATGGCGAAGATGCTTGAGGAAAATACAAATATCCTTAAGTTTGGATATCGGTTTACACAGCAGGGACCCCGAACCAGGGCAGCTAATGCTATAACAAAAAACAATGACTTAGGTAAGACATACAATTGCAAATTGAATTTCTGAATCATGCCATTAACCTAATGTATTGGAGAAGCTTTTTTGCTTTTAGAATAAATTTTAACAGAGATGACTTGGCCTAGGTTTCTAATATCTGCATGGTCCTTTTATACTGACTGGATCAGAATTCAGTTTAAGGAAGGCTGTAGTGATTATTGGGTTGGTTAGTGGGTAAAATCAGCTTCATGTGAAAATAATATTTCACAGCTTCTGGTGAATAGTTTTCTACAATAAACATTTATACTTCCTATAATGTTTTACTCTCAGCTCTAAGTCACCCCTTGGAGCTATTAAAAAAGATTTCAACATGACAGTAAAATGTTTGCCCCTTTTATCAAATGCTCTCTGGTGGCTGATAGGTAAGAGTAACAAGATCCTGAAGTTGAAGACCGTGCCCTGCTACTAGAGAGCACAGCCTGGTGCGTTAGGGCCACCCATCCACGAAGACGCTGGGGGGTCCTCAGATACATGCACCTTCTCTCCATCAGCTGAACTAGTTGGCTGGCATCTTTGACAGCCAAAGGTTATGGTAGCCAGCTGTGACCTGACCACATTACCAGGGTCTGAGATTTTCATTACTTTGCATTTATTTTGTCAGAGCCCTGAGCCAGTTCATTTTGTGGGAGAAAAGAGAAGGAAAATTTGGAGAGCAGTAGGGTCCCAGGTTCGATTCCGGTCAAGGGCAGGTACCTTGGTTGCGGACACATCCCCAGTGGGAGGTGTGCAGGAGGCAGCTGATCGATGTTTCTCTCTCATCGATGTTTCTAACTCTCTATCCCTCTTTCTCCCTCTCTGTAAAAAATTAATAAAATATATATATTTTTTAAAAAATGAATGACAAAACCATTTTCACTATGTTATTTCACAGACTAAGGAAGTGAGCTGTACTGTAATGCCTAATCAGAAGTGCAGATATTGTTGATACTATCTAACCGTGGCTGCCTGAGTGTCAATTCAGAATTTAACACAATCACTTATTATTTTTAATGGAGGTATCAACTTTTTCAGTAAACAGATGAGACAGCACAGTGGACGTGAATGCGATCGCTGACCATGCTGTTTTAGATTTCTAATGCTCTGGCTGTGTAAGCACAGGTGAGCGAGGGCATGTAGTTCTCACTTTGAAACCCCTCACTTCTCAGCAGGTAAATGACAAGGAAAAGGATGTGAATTTTTTATTTTAATGACCATGTGCATTGGAAATGGACATTTAATGTTTGTACAACTATCGCTGGATTTACAGAAGCTTGTTTGTAAAAAGCAAGTTAAGTTTGTACAAATGAACAGGGATTTCTAACTCTTTATTTTTCTCATAGTTCGCAAGAAACGAGTTGAAGGAGACCACCAGTAAGTCCGCCAAGGCACAACCTTTGGAAGACTTCTGAAGGTCATCAGGACTCACATTGGTGATATCAGATATAAAATTTTCCTGGGTAGAAGGGAAAAGACTGGAAATTTTTCTTTTCTTTTTTTTCCAACTACATGTATATTTTTCTAGTTTAAGTTACAAGTTTCAAACTGTAAAATCAATAGTAGGTGACATTTTATATTTTAAAGCATTATTTCTACTTTCTGCTAAAATCAATTTTAATTTAGCTTAATTGAGTGGTTTATGGTGGGTCTTAGTTAAAAAAAATACAATTATAAGGAAGTATAGGAAGTCACATGTAGAATAATATAAACATTTTAAGGACCAAATCTTTTTGTTAAAAAAAGGGACCTTGCTGATATCAGACTTGCTGTGCACCTCACAGGTACAAGCACTTCAAAGCTCCTGATTCCAGGATGGGAGAGATGTCCGTGTTGTAGAACATGAGCTTGGAGAGATTGTGCTTTTGCTTCTGTCAGGAAAGCACAATGCCAGAATTTTAAACCAGGTGACTCAAATCTAGTCGTCTGTTTAGAAGTAAAAGCAGGCCTCTAGGAGAGAGAAAATGCATTCCAGGTTACTGCACTTGTCTGATGTATCTTTAAGAGTATAGTGATGTCTACACTGATGACAGTGTTTCATTTTAATACTGTGGACTTTATTAGATTTTTGTGAAAGCCCATAGTAAAAAGCATCTGAGTAGGAAAGCTATTCTGTTCCTGTAAAAGGCAGATAGCCAACTCTTGGTTAGATAGGCAAAGAGAAAAAGAAAGCTGTTGTTTACAGTAAATGTGATGGAGGTGAAGTCTGAGGAGCATGCAAAACTGTCAGTTAAACTGATGGTTCCTGTAAAGCAAATTAGAAACTGGCACGCGTCTAAATCATTGTTCCTATATGCAGTGCAGAATTCCATAAACGGTATTTAGTCATCACTCACTACAAATTTTCCAAACAGGAAATCTGCTCTTCTTCATAAACCCAGTTTTTATTGTTTCCTGTCATCTTGTACTTTTTTGTCCATATTGTGTAAAAGTAATTTCTCATAACAAAAGTTGTCTTCCTGTTACTCTCGAAAGAATCAAAGTGAACAATTGAACAGTGTACTGTGGTGGGCAGCTGCCTCCAGACCGCCAGTGCGATGGGGGATTTGGACCTGTGTCCTTGCCCTGTTCCGGGGCAGCCTCTGGACCGGAGATGGCGGAGTCTTACAGCTGCCGAAAGCAGGGGCAGAGGAATCCGAGTCACCCTGGCCTCAGAAATGCAGCCCTGGCTGAAGCATTTACAGGGAGATTTTTCTAAGGGAGAATCTCATTTCACTGGAGCAGAGAGGTCTGTTGTCAGTTTTTAAAAAAATTATTTTTCTGCGCCTTAGGCTTACAGTGGACAGTTTATCCAATGACTGGGCAGCTTCCTGTGTACTGTGGTATAAGCCTTCTTAACAGGGTGTGTTTGTTGCTTTGTATCAGTATCTAATGTTTTAAAGGGGCCTAAGATTGACTTTGCACTATTTCCTTTCAGTTATAGGCTGCTTTTTTTTTTTTTTTAAGTTAGGAAGTCTCTCTCTCTCTCTCTCTCTCGCTCTCTCTCTCTCTCTCTCTCTCCTTTTCATATACAATTTTGGAAACATACTTGATTTTAGACACTGCACTGTTCCAGCAGGCTGGGGGCTGCATGGAGCAGGGCGAGGCGACCGTTACACTCTCAGCAAGGCTGCCTTGCAGCACTGTCCTGTGAGTCATTACATTGATTAGTATGTTACCCCCTCCTCCATGAGTGTGTTTTTTTAACATAGGTAGACAAGCCCTTACCTAAAGTTGTATGTCATACTTATGGATAAAATCTTTAGTATGGAGAAGTTAAGTGTTTTGCTTGTACCATTCCAGTTCTGAGCTACAATAGTTCATTATATAATTTCTTCATAAATGACTTTAAAGGTAAACATTCATCCGATTGGATATAGAAAAATATTTCAAGCATTGTAATTACAGGGGAGAAAACTGATGTTTACTTTGATCTTTAAAAATATGGCACCTCTTAGCCTTTTATTAACTTCTGGAATTTCTATATTGCTCTAAAATTTTGTAATAGAGTTGTGAAGTAGTCTGGATTTTTAAACCAAAGATGTGTAAGACCTTAAATTTTGTAGTCTAACCAATTTAAACTTATCTGGTGATCTAATCAAAGAACACTTGCATTTTTAAATTGCTGGGGTTTTTTTTTAAAGCTTTAACTTCCCATTTTATAAAACTTTATATTTATATTTGTCCAAATTTTTTCTAGTATGTCTACATGAACTTGTATTTTAAAAATATTAATTACTAATGTTGATATTATTAAAATGGATGTTGGTGCTATATATTTGTAGCTAGTAAGTCTAAAGTATAGAAGAAATACATTTTATAAGGGTGCCTGTCATTTAAAAGACCAAATAAACATTTTGTGTGTTTAAACAACTAGCAATTGTCAGAGATTTCAATGAGAATTATCTTTATCATTAAATGGCAAATTCTTGTTATTTGAATGAAATAACCCACATACTTTATGCAGTAGGTGCACTCTGGAAAAGTTACATGTAAATAGAACTTTGTAAATTGTTTTTCCATTGACAATATCTGATGTTTTCATTTAAAATGGGAATTCCATGGTATTAAAAAGTTATGAGAAAAAATGTTTGATAAATGTTAGTCATGTTCTATTATATATTATATTTGCTGCCATTAAAATAAGATGAAAAGATGCATGCCGTTTCATAAAACCTTGCACTTTTGGCTCTGTGTTCCCAGGGCTACCTCACTTCCTCCTTATATAATCCACACAGATCCGAGGAGCATGCTTTTTCTGGGGTCCAAGCAACTTCCATTCTCTGCAGGCTCAGTGCCATCCCACTTGGCTCCTTCTTGCAATGCCACAATTTTTCCAGTTTCATTGAGATATAATTGACATTTAACATTGTGTTAGCTTAAGTTATACAACATAATGATTTAATCTATGAATATAATAAGACATGATCACCACAGTAAGTTTAGTTAACATCCATCACTTCACATAGTTAAAAAAATTTTTTTCCTTGTGATGCCAACTTTTGAGATCTACTCTCTTAGCAACTTTCAAATATATAATACAGTATTGTTAACTATAGTCACCATGCTGTACATTCCATCCCCAGGACTTAGTCATCTTACACCTGAGGTTTGTACCTTGTGACCGCCTTCACCCAATCCTTCATCCCCAGCCCTGCCTCTCACAACTACCAATCTGTTCTCTGTTTCAGTGAGTTTTTTTTCTTTTCACATAAGTGAGATCATACAGTATTTGTCTTTCTCTGTGTGGCTTATTTGACTTAGCACAATGTCCTCAAGGCACTTCACTTTCGAGTAGTGTTAACTGAAGACATGGCATCCAGGAAAACGAAATACCAGGATGTGCAGAGCGGCTTCCCATGCTGCCCTCAGGCTCAGGCCCAATTTGTCTGCTTAAGAAAGGTTAAAAAATGGCACATATACATAAGCTCATACACACACACTGCATAAAAATCTTCGTAATTTCAAGGAAATGCCCACTTTATATTTTTTAGTCTTTTGGATGAATTATATTTGGTTTTAGTTATGTTTAAAAGCTTGAAAGTTATCTTGTTACAATGCATCATTCTTTGTCACAAATAGGTATTTAAATACATTTTTTAATGCTAAAATATCCAAAATGCTGTAGATGTTTTATTTTTTCAACTTTTTAAATATAAGCGTTTTAATTTTTATAATACTGATGTCTAAATATGAAATATTATTAACCTGGTTCATAATAGCACAGTGAAATTTCTTTTGAAGAACATGTACTATAGGCATTTAGAACTTACCACTTCTTTCTGGAATAAATAATTTCAATAAAGTTTATCAAATATCCTGTAGACTGTGACTTTTTAAAAATCCCTTTAATTTGGATGTTCTAAAGTTCATTCCTTGCACATTTCTTCAAGAACAGGCTTATTCATTTCCCTGGATTATTGTGTCCCACCCTATTAAAGTTAAATATAAAATTTTCAACACGTGAACATTTTTACCCACAAAAATAGAATTTCATATGGTTCAATCTAATGCCATCCATGAAACTGAATTGAGTTGACAAATGTGAAGAAACAGGGTCCTGTGACCTGATTGGGAGTCCGTCCTGTTAATAAAGCAGATTTTTACAATACGGCAAAAGCACCTCTATCAGTCACCTGTGTCCACCAACCAAAAGAGAAAATCAGTGAAACGTGTAATAGGAAACTTTTAGGGATAAGTGTCCATTTAATTTAAAATTTTCACAGTTCTGAAACTTAGAAGAATAAAAAAATTCCCCTTGAATCTTCAATGTTGGCTGTCCTTTGAGGATGAGTGTTGGGGTACGTTCACTTACAGGAAGCGTTGATGCCTGTCCCCTTTGGTAAGTTGGAGGCTCAGGCGCTTGAGTCATCAGGTAACTTTAGCTCCTGTGAGTTCAGGTAGAGGTGGTGCCAGGAACTGTGGCCATGGGGAGACAGTGCCCTTGTGCTCAGCCACATAGCGCCCTGCTTTTTTAGGTACCAAATAAGTGGCCGACCACATGTGGGCCCCACGTCGCCAAACATCTCTTATCCTTCAAATGTTAAACTGTCCTGCACACCTGCAAAGGTTGAGGGCCTGGAGATCCCAGCCTAAGTCCCCACCCCAGTCTGTTTGCAGAGACAGCAGAGCCTCGTGGGCCACCACCGCCCTGTGAAGAATAGCTGACCTGAGTGACCTCAGTGTCAGTGGAGAGAGAAGGCGCCACTGTTTCCTCCCTTAGATTTACAAGTCGGACAATTAAAACTCAACAAAGGATGCCCTGCTCAACATAAACATGCCTCCAAGATGCACACACTGGGACATGTGGAGGCGGGCATAATGGAAGGAGTTAGGGGAGGTGGGACGGGGGAGGACAGAGACAGTGACCACAGACACAGCTCAGTGTCCACCTAAAAGTACAAAAGGGAGGGAAATATATGAATCCAGGTTTTCCACATGATGAGATAATGGGCCATTTTTCTTGGGCCTTTTCTATTTAACAGACATTTTTAAAGATGTTTCTAATTAGTACTCAATTCTCAAAGGCAGAGAAATATAAACATTAAATCATGAACTATTTATTTACATGGTCAAGTCCAAGTACCGCTGAGTTGAGGAAACTGACTTCAGAGAAGTAACTTGCCCAAGATATTACTGATGGTTTGTTCATTCAGTAAATACTTATTAGGTACCTACTACCTTCCAGCTACACCAACCACAAAGCTAGAAGTTGAATCTGGTGTTTCGTTTCCCACTGCTCTTCTATAATAATAAAAGTGTAATATGCTAATTAGACCGGACATCCTTCCAGTTGCCGCTGTGAGGGTCAGGGCAAACCACCACAGCTGCGAGGGCCCAGCCCTTTGCATGAATTTCATGCATCAGGCCTCTAGTTTCTCCATAAAGTCACTAGTACATCTGCTCAGTATTGTGGTTGTGCATAGAAAATCCTGACTCTTGTCTCAAAAATGCTGATTTTCCTTTACTTGGGAAGGAAAAGCTTTGGACAGCAGTCTTAAGTTCTTTAAGCCTCAGCTTCCACATCTGTAAAATGGGAATAGCAGCCCTGTCCTTCAACTTGTTCTGAGGCTTAGAATTGTAGGGCCCATATAGCACCCAGTGTCCCTCCATGCTGTACCTACTCTCCCAAGGTCCCAGGGCTATGTGGTCAGTGGAAAGTTCACACAGGACACAGAAGGGCCTGACCCAGCTGGCAGAACAGGGAGGACATCCGGGGAGTGGGGGGGACAGTACTGGAGCTAAACCCAAGCTTACCTCTGGGCCCCACCAGGGATGGGGTGAGGCAGAAGGGCAGGAAGGCAAGAAAACCTAAGATCCAGAGCAAACACAAACTGGATTTTCTAAAGTCACAGACTTGCTTCTGAACATTTTTTATTCACAACTAGGATTATATAAAAATAACTCAGTTCATCAAACAAAACATTTCATCACTGTTTTAAAACAAACTGTTGAGCCCTAGCAGGTTTGGCTCAGAGGATAGTGTTGGCCTGTGGACTGAAGAGTCCCAGGTTTGATTCCGTCAAGGGCACATGCCTGGGTTGTGGACTTGATCCCCCAGTAGGGGGCGTGCAGAAGGCAGCCGATCAAGGATTCTCTCTTATCATTGATGTTTCTATCTCTCCCTCTCCCTTCCTCTGAAATCAATAAAAAAAATAGTAAAAACAAACAACTGTTGAAAACAATACAGACAACGAGAGCAGGTTTATGCATCTGTCATCTTTCTCTTCCCCTGCTTTCCTACTTCTGTAGGGTTCACCTAGAAAATGTGAGAGACAAGAGGTAAAATTCAGTACCAAACACGTTCCTGGCAATTTTGTCGAAAGTAGTCCAGAGCTGACTGAGGAGCCAGCCTTCACATGAGAACTCAACCCCCCACGGGTGACCTGTCTGGCAGGTCAGGCAATGGAAACCGCACTTCACCTGAATGGCGGTCAGAGCCGGAGGGGCACTCCTCGCTCCACCGACTAGGATTTCTACAATATTATACTTGAGATGCATTTGTCTGCTTCCTTATACTTTACTCTCTGAAATTCAGCACTTTAAAGCTCGCTGATTTATTTTTAAAGGACTACTGGTGTTTCCTGTGCTTTTAAAATTTGAAATATATATTTATATATGAATGAGTGAAAATGAATGCTCCACTTAGACAAGTGACCCATGTTCAGTTGAACATCCCTGTTACTGCGACATTTACTCCCATCTCTATCTCCAGAACACAGAGTGGAGCATGTTAAGTGTTCGGCAAACAGTGAAGGAAGGAATATGGCTTATGGGCACTAACGTAGTGATTCACTTGTATAGTTGAGACTTAAAATATCTTTGCACTTAGGATCCTATACATGGAAAAGGAAATAATTAAAGGAAAAACATTTTAATAACATGGAAATGAAATAATGCTCCACTACCATTATACCCAAATAAGAAAGACACCCGGTGACCACAGGGGACACGGTAGGCCCCTTGCTCTCCCACACTGAACTGTTCCGAGCTCTCCAGACAAGACTGGGTGCCCAAGGGCCTGTGCCTTCCTCACAGGCCTCTGCGTCCCCGTGGCAGGCCCGCCCTGGCCAGCGTCCCCTCCAAGCCAACACTCTCCCTCACTAGGGCAACTCGCTCCCAGTCCTGGCACTGCGTTCCTTTCACTGAGGTCCAGCCGGGTGTGCGGACGCCTGTTGTGTGTGCCTAGGCTACAAGCTCCTCTTGAGAAGCTGGCTCCTGGGTACAGGGCAAACCCTTTCGAATGGAATATGTTTGCTTTTACCTCATCACTGGTGAGTGGCTTTGCTCTCAGTAATCCTTGAGGCTTTTCTTCTTCTGATCCTCATCGCTGTCTGACAAATAGATTCTGGCCTGTTCCTCTGAAAGCAAAGGAACTGGAGACATGAGACTGACCCTCCAAGATGAGACCCATTTACTCCTGAATTTTTCTCCTGAATTCGCACTGTCACTGCCCACGGTGCGTGTTCCCTTGAGGAGCCAACAGTTTTTTTAAAGTTGTGATGAGAGGTATAAACAGGTGGGCAAAGGCAGGAAAGAACTCTGTGCCAACATGCGCTTGAGTTTCGCAAGGAGACCAGAGTGTAAATAACGAGGGCCGGCAATGGGACTTGTGAGAGGGGCCTCGGGCCCGTGCCGCTGTGCGAGGTAACGAAGCCACTGTGAATGCCGTAACCTGCAGGTCCTCCTCCGTACAAATGCCTGTCAGCCTCCTTTTGCCCACCCCGTGTGACTGTCAGAAATAGCTTAGATTTGAGGAGGTCTGTTCTCAGACAGATTGTCTGATCACTTAAATACCCACGAGGCTCAGAGCACACATTCTTTAAAAACTGCCAAGTTTAAGAATTGGGTCCTTAATTATACAAGCAAGCAAACTGCTTATCACACATTTCCTCCATAGGACAGAATTATTTAATTGATTTACTTTGTTTTGCGGTAGTTGCCCAGCTTAGCTTTTCTATGGGTAAGTGGTCCTAACAACAACAAAAATAACCCATAGACACAGACAATAGGGTGCTGAAGGCCTGGGACGGGGGCCAGGGGCGGGCTGGAGGAGGTCAATGGGGGAAAAGGAGGACATAGGCAATACTTTCAATAATAAAGAATTAAAATAATAATAATAATTAAAATAATAATAATAAGAGACCTCTGTACCGCCCTCTAAGTAACAGCAGGCCAGGGAATAAGAGTCCACCAGAGCAAAAGCAGGCACCGGGGCTCAGATGAAATGTTCCCTCCACATCGACTCACCTCCGAGTTCCCCTGGGACTGGTTTTGAATTACTCACCTTCCTCCTCCTCGCTGTCACTGCTGGACTCCTGGTAGCGGGCACTCGGGCCCTGCCGGTTCTGCTTCCCCCGAGGATGGATTGTCCCTTGGCGAGTAGAAGCCCTCAAGCGTTGTTTTTCTTTCTGTAAAGAAGCCAATAAACCAGTGAACTTAAAAATGAACAACTTTTGTGCTCACTGGAACCTACTTTTACGGGTTCCCCGTGTCTGCAGAGGACAGACCTCTCCAAGCCACACCTGGTACCTCACACGCGATCTGCTCAGCTCTAAGGCGTGAAGGCCACACCAGGGTGAAGAGGCAGACGGCCCCTCACGCCGTCCGTCCGATCAGAACTGGCACAGGCACAGCCTGGGGCCGCCACGTCCCCTGTGCTGCCGGTCAGGGCCCGGAGAGCAGCGACCAGCTGAGCCAGGTCCTCATGCCCAGCTGCCTGAGGGAGGCCGTTTCTGTTCCCAAGAGACAGACCCTGACTGGCCCAGGCTCCACCAAAGCCCACAGAGCCCGATGTTCCTGTCTGGGCCCCCAGCTCCCGAAGACAGGGTGAGAACGTGCAGGCGGGGGCCGGTCCCTGAGCCCCAGAGTGGAGCCTTCATCCCCTTCATCTGCCTGGCATCCCACATGTTGGGGTTCACAAAGCAGGGCCAGTATCGAATGAGTCAGGAATGTCCTTTGACCTTCCTATATCACTTCTTATCTGGCTAACACAATTTTGTGATATCTCTCAAAGGCTACATTTTGTTTAAAAATTACGTTTTCATCTGAAACCTCACAGATTGGAGGGAGAGCACCTGAGTGTCTGGTTTTCTCTATCTCACCCATGGCTGTTGGCATTACTGTGGTTAACCACATGTTTAGGAGGTTAGGCTGGCTCCCTGATAACCGCAGGAGGTAAACTGCCTGTGGCAATAAGAAGTGGCGAATTAATATTCTGGAAAGCACAACTCTTAGCACCCCCAAGTCCCAGGATAAAGAGCAGCCAACACACCTTAATCTCCTCGGTGCGCTGGCACTCGGGGTCACTGCCAGCTATTGGTATGATCCTAATCTTCTGCGTCCTTGAGCATCTGTCAGCAAGCGGCAGGGTCATCTTCTTATGGGTGGCATAGTCCATAGAGTGAGGTCTGCAGGAAAGGAACAAAAATGCCTGTTTACTAAGAACATTGGAGGCAATCACAGTGCACAAACTGCTGTGGACAATGACCACCTCCCTTGAGCAGAGCAGGAGCAGGGCCCCGGCCCTGGTGCTCTTGCCCGCCCTCATTCTCTGGCTCCCGAGGAGTGCCTCCCTTCACCCCAACCCCTGAAGAGCTGGATGGGGTGAGGGTGAGGGCTTTTATAAAGAAAACCCCAACCACAATCCTAGAAGAGAAGGGAAGGGAAGCTCAGTTTCGCAAGCGAGGCGCAAAGGCCTGTAGGAAGGCACAGTTTCAGAACTAAAGATGAGTCCCTCCATCTGAGTAAAATCTGAAGGAAGGTGAAAGCAAGGAGAAGGGTCACAGTGGTCTGGGGGCCTCATTACCACTCAGGGGCCACGTGGGACAGGAGGCCCTGCACGCTGGCTAAAGGAGACGGGTTTAAGTGCATCAGGAGGGAGCCTGGAAGGAGAGCATGGCTGTGAGAGAAGGGACGGGAGGAATGAAACTGTGATGGGTGGTGAAGTACTGTCCCAGCATGCAGCGTGGGCACGGTGGAAAACATACACAGAACCCTGTCCTTCAGGGTGCCACTCCAGAGGAGACCATTAGGGGGTTGGATCTGAGCCACAGTTAGCGTGGCAGGTCTGCACGACATGATTTTAAGTATTATTTGACTTAACTGATACAACATCCCTATGAGGTAGATGTTCCCATTTTATAGATGAGGAAACCAAACATTTGTGAGATTGAGACTCCTCAAGCTCACATGGTCAGATGTGAAACACATGATCTCAGAGCCACCCGTCACAGTCTTTAAAACAGCACAGGGGGGAAACCAAGATGGCGGCATAGGTAAACACCGGAAATTGCTGCCTCGCACAACCACTTCAAAAATACAACTAAAAGACAAAACAGACATCATCCAGAACCACGTGAAGGCTGGCTGAGTGGAAATTCTACAACTAGAAGGAAAGAGAAAAGCACACAGAGACTCAGAGGCGGTGTGGAAGTAAAGTGCAGAGGTATGGAGAGGCACGGAAAGGGCTGGCAACGGAGCCCGTTTTCAATCGGGAGGGAGTCACAAGCTCCCGACTGCTCTGAACTCCAGTTCCGGGCGAGTCTCTGGGGACCCAGACTCATATGGGAGAAACTGGACTGTCTGGCAGCAGGCAGAACTCAAAGGCGGCTTTCCCTCAGAGGTGCTTGCAGCAATTACCGGGACACTGAGACCCGGGGCCTCTTTGGCCAGGGCTGAGGATCAGCCATAGCTGTTTGTTCCACCCTGTTGATTCCCTGAGACCCCGCCCCACCCAAGATGTGCACAGAGGCTTTTGCATATGAATGGCCTGGCCCTTTGCAGTCTAAAATTACATACCAAACTGCAGCTGGGTCAGAGAGACCCAGAACATCCAAAAGAAGGCCCCAGGTCCCACAGCAGCTTGCATTGCTTCACAGCGGGGCCTCATCTGGGCACCTCCAAACCCCAAACAAAGAAGAGGAATCTGCAGATCTCTCCATAGCTCCTGCTGGGTAGCCTCAGGAAGAGGCTAAATAGCACCTCCTTAGAGATCCAAGAGCCACTGTACCCAGTGGTCAGAGAGGGACCATCCAGATTACAACTCCTCAGATCCATAAGGGACACATTCAGGGGGCAGACTCAGTGAGCACCAAAGCCCCACTGAACCAAGTCTTGCCCCAGAAGGGTGTCTCCAGCATAGAAGTCCTCCCACTGCAGACACAGCTGATTCTCACAGCCAATTGGCCTGGAGGTCAATTCCTCCCAGTGATACCTACAATAATCAAGGCTTAACTACAACAAGACTGTGCACAAAGCCCACAAGGGGGTGCACCAAGAGTGTCTACCTCAGGTAATTGGGGAGGCTGAGCCACTGGGCCCTACAGGACACCTAGCACACAAAGCCACTCTATCAACACAGGGAAGCATAAAAATGTGGAGACAAAGAAACAGGTCACAAATGACAGAAATGGAGGAAAGCAAACTACTGGATATAGAGTTCAAAATCATGGTTATAAGGTTTTTCAAAAATTTTCTAGAAACCGCCGATAAATTTAGAGAGACCCTCAAGAAATCTAGTGATACCCTCGAGGTTATGAAAAAGGACCAACTAGAAATTAAGCATACACTGACTGAAATAAAGAATATTATACAGACTCCCAACAGCTAACCAGAGGATCGCAAGAATCAAGTCAAAGATTTGAAATGCGAAGAAGCAATAAACACCCAACCGGAAAAGCAAAATGAAAAAAGAATCCAAAAATACAAAGATAGTGTAAGGAGCCTCTGGGACAACTTCAAGTGTACCAACATCCGAATTATAGGGGTTCCAGAAGAAGAGAGAGAGCAAGATATTGAAAACCTATTTAAAGAAATAATGACAGAAAACTTCCCCTACCTGGTCAAAGAAATAGACTTACAAGTCCAGGAAGCGCAGAGAACCCCAAACAAAAGAAATCCAAAGAGACACATCATAATTAAAATGCCAAGAGCAAAAGACAAAGAGAGAATCTTAAAAGCAGCAAGAGAAAAACAGTCAGTTAACCTACAAGGGAGTACCCATATGACTGTCAGCCGATTTCTCAACAGAAACTATGCAGGCCAGAAGGGAGTAGCAAGAAATATTCAAAATGATGAATAGCAAGAACATACAACCAAGATTACTTTACCCAGCAAAGCTATCATTCAGAATTGAAGGCCAGATAAAGAGCTTCACAGATAAGAAAAAGCTAAAGGAGTTCATCACCACCAAACCAGTATTATATGAAATTCTGAAAGGTATCCTTTAAGAGGAGGAAGAAGAAGAAAATGGTAAAGATACAAATTATGAACAACAAATACACATCTATCAACAAGTGAATCTAAAAATCAAGTAAATAAATCCTCTGCTAAACAGAATAAACTGGTGAATATAATAGAATCAGGGGCATAGAAAGGGAGTGGACTGATTATTCTCAGGGGGGAAAGGGGTGAGGGGGGTGTGGGAAGAGACTGGATAAAAATCGTACACCTATGGATGAGGACAGTGGGGAAGGGTAAGAGCAGAGGGTGGGGTGGGAACCGGGAAGAGGGGAGCTATGGGGGGAAAAAAAAGGAACAACTGTAATAATCTGAACAATAAAGATTTAATTTAAAAAATAATAATAAAAAATAAAACAGAGCACAGGGTAAACTGATGAACAAAATAGGTCTGGAGGTATGACTCATGGAACAGACTGACAGATTAACCAAAGAACTTATATGCATACTAGAGGCCCAGTGCACGAATTCGTGCACAGGTGGGGTCTGGCCAGCCCAGTCCCAATTGGCAGATTAGGGCCGGACCTGTCAGGAGGAGGAGATGGCAAGAGGTTGGCCGGCCAGCCTGCCCCCAAATGGGGCCAGGGGAGGGGCCATGGGAGGTTGGGCAGCCAGCCCCACCCGATTGGTGTGGGGGGGCTGATCAGGGTAGAGCTGGCTGGGGGGAGGGGCCATGGGCCGATCAGTGTGGTGGGGGCTGATCGTGGGTGGGGCCAGCTGTGGGGAGGGACTATGGGTGGTGGGCCGGCTGACCTCACCCCAGAATGGGGTGGAGGGGCCAATCGGGGGCCAGTGGCCTGGGGGAGGGGCTATGGGCAGTTGGACAGCTGTCCCTGCCCCTGATCAGAGT